ATGAGGACCCAGATTGTTGGGGGCAATATGCTGACTCTCTGTAAACCGCTTAGAGAGGGCTGAAAGCCCTATGAAGCGGTATATAAGTCTACTGCTATCAGATTTTAGCAATAATTTGTGTCTGGAACATTGCACTTTGATATGGCCCAAAGCCTAATCAATAAAGTAAAGTAAGTAAGCATATCACTTAAATGTGTAATACCGGTATGGATTCTTGATATGGATTAGGTTTGTGTGCCTAGTCCATTTGAGATACATAGCAGTAAAGATTGTGTTTGCATCTCAAACATTGCTATACTGACTTTTAATAACTATACAGGCCAATAAAACTGCATTTCTATGCAGTTCAAAAATGAACTTTGCTTCATTTGAACTTTAAAAATTTAATTTTAATGTAATGTTTACATTAATGTGGGTTATTTTGCCCTATATGAGGAATACAGATTTGCAGATGAAGTTTAGCAGAATATTTATGATCTTACAATTATCTTAGATTTACTGGTAATATCCATAGAAATACTGTATATTTGAAGTATAAAAAAGTATAAGTATAAAAAATCTCTGACCTTCTCATCACTGGTCGTAGACTCTGGATGAGGTAAGGGACTATCTTGGTGAGTTGTTTCAACCACTGAAGGCTCTTCAATTTTATTTCTTATAATTGGAGTTGCAAGAGGTGATAAATCTAGAGGCATCTGTAACAATTAATGGCGAGATAAATTTTAAAACCTGCAAAATATAAATGTCTCTTTAAAGAACAGGGAATTCACAATAATGCCAATGTAGTAGCCAAAAATATGATTTCTTAGTTAGAAGGTATCTACTGCTAATATTAACTTAATATAAAGTAATATCTTTGAAGTTCAATCTTAGGAAAAACAACAGTGTCGATTTATAAATAGAATGTAGAACTACAAAAAGCCTATTAAGAGCTTTGTCTTTCAAGTACAGTAATATTGAATTAAAATAACATTTTTATGCTCATCCTCATGTTGTTAATGCAAAATTTCTAGCTGCAAGCAGAATTCAAGTAATCAATACTCCCTAAAATGATATAGTTTTAATCCGCTACATTTACATACTTTTTTAATATCATCTTCAGAAGCTTTTTTGAATTCATTTTCAAAAGGACTTGCTAGTTCATTGAATAAACCCACTTCTTCACAATTCTTTAAAAATCGAGTTGGCGTTGGAGTTTGATCTGGGATTAAAAGGGAAATATATGATTTAACCCCTAATATAAAGACATACATGTTTGGCAATAAAATCAATATTATTAATATCATGTGCACTTTATAAAATTAATATGTTCAATCAAGAGCACAGTAAGAACAAAGTTGAACATCTTGTTCTTAATGTCACCTTAATTTGTTTTAACATTATTGAAAATTCAAACATCATAGTTAAAAATATGAACATCTGATTTGTAGAAATTTAGGATAATCTATATAAGGAAGAATAGAGATACATTTTTGTATTTGAAGATGTGCTTTATCTATTACTTTGCTCATGGGTTTTAGAAAAAGCAAATACTGCACTGGAATTTCAAAATCAAATGTAACACAGAATTAAATGTTTGCTTCTCCAAAATATCATAAAATTCAATTTATTTGAAAGTAGCCTTTCATCTTAAAAATTATAACTGAGCAGTTAAAGTAAAAAAGTCAGGTATTAAGAAAAAAAATCTCTTGTATGAGAAGGAGTGGCAGAACATGGGGGAGAAGTCAAAAGAGAAATCACCTAAAGTATCTATGTAGGCACAAGCAGACTAAGTCCTGTATATCTCTTGAATTCCATTGACCCTTATCTAAAGCCAAGCAAGGCTAATGGTTAGTGGAGCAGTTTCCTGGGCATGGGGTGATTAGTAATAAATCAGTTTAATTGGAACTTCATGTGTGGTCCTGATCTTTTGTGCCTGAAATCTCTTCACCTAATGTTGAGGAACAGTATCTTTCTATTCAAAATAAATAAAAAGGGAGAGAATGATAGAAACTTTTAAAAAACACAATCAGTACAAATTTTCACCACCACTGCAGAATATAAATACCCTAAACCCCACAATTAATTTTGTACTGATGATAATGACAACATGGGATATTGGCGAGACCCAGATTTGAAGAACAAAATAATCAGAGGGTGGAGGAGCACTCATCAGAATACCTTAAAATGTATTGTTCTCCAAATTGTATATCACTTCCAGTCAGCAGCACCCAATCCTTCAAACACAACAGTGTTTAAAGCATTCCCAAGATACATATGCTCCATCATCCAAATATCATTTTGTTCTTTGAATCTTATATCTAACAATTACAATAATTGAAAGTCAGAGATAGGACGATAACATTTAGGAAGCTATGTTAGTATTTCATTGGTAGATAGTTCATGCAGTTGCAATTAAATATCTTCATGGGACAAAAGAAGAAAATAATCTACATAATAGCTAAATCGTAACATTATAGAATTATTTTGCTGTAAAAGCTATGGTCTACCTTTCATACAGGATTTGTGTATGCATTTATTAAAATTACCTTTGGAAGATAACATTACATGTAATTCTGTTGTATTCTATATAGTACAATGACATAAAATACATGTGAATCAGGTCTATGCAAACAATACTTTCCAAATAACGTAAACCTATGTCCTGGATCACACATTACATTGAGCCATACATTAATCATGATTTATAACCCCTATGGATCAAATCATATAACATGACAATCCAAATCCAAACAAACCATATTCTTTCTTAGTGCAATGTGAATATAGTCAATGCATCATTTTGGAATGTAAGCATCGTTTTGATTACAAAATAGATTTTTTTTAAAAAAAAACCACCCTAATTCTGTTTACTGTGTCATGCTAAAATTGTTGTTGTTCAGACCCTTTTCCATTTTTTTCTATAAACCTTTTTGTTCAAAAGCAAAAATGGAAAGATTTAAAAGAAGATTTTACCATAAGAGAAAAGACCATCAAAGATATAAAGAGATTAAGCAAGAGTATATTCAATCAAATAAACTTTATTTTTGAAGCTTCTTTATAAGATATAATTAAGATCAGTAAAAATGTAAGAAACCGTAAGAAGCTATCTCATAGCAACATGTACAGATGACTTTGACAAAAAATATATTGTGTGGATATGCATTCTCTGTATCTACAATAAATTGCTAGATGTTACTTCTCACAACAATTTTGTGAAGTTTTGTATATTAAAGTGCTCTTAATTACTAAGGCTGAAGCATATATAGCCAGTAGATTGTTATTAATTTATCAAAAACAATGTTAAGGAAAAGGTCAATACATGACATAACTGCATTTAAAACAAACAAACAAAAAAACAACAACAAAGAAACTCTGACAGAATCTCAAGCATATACAGAAAATACACAAAATCTGGGCACGTTCCACGAGTTGGATTAATAAAAGATATACTAACCAGCTACAATGACACTGTCATTACGAGCTGGACCAAATTTCAATGTCATCTCATGTTTATGTTTATGGACAGCCAAATGATCCTCGTTGGTAAAACGCTGTGACAAGAAGTTTTAAAATACAGTTATATATCTGAATTATGACTAAACAGTGGAAATAATTTTCTGAATGTGTTACAAACCATTTGTATTTAAAAAAGCTGATTGATTTTTGTTTAATTAAAAGGTTGATACAATTACGTACTTCTAAATTTGTTTTTTTTATTGACCATTCTCTTGAATATTTAAGTAGCATCATCATAAGTAACAAATGATACATATCAATTTTAATGGCTTTCACTCTACTTAAATACAAATTTTGACACACAATAATTCAGAGTTTTAACCACTATGATAAATTGCAAATATGAAGGACCTGCAACAGGCAGAAAGCCCTTATCCTGTAAGACTTCCTTCCTTCTCTCCTTTATTCTGCCATTCACCTAGGAATCCTATAGTTCAGGGTTGTTGAGGGCTGGATGAGCATTGTAGTTTTCTGCAGTGGGGTGTAGGGCGGCAGGACGGATGCCTCCTGCAGCATCCTATCGGCCAAAATGGGGCATAGAGAGGTCTGCATGTAGCCCACCCTGTGCCTCATTTCCCCCCTCCATTGCCTCCTGCAGCACTCTGCCGGCCGTTTTTGGGCCCGTTTTCAGCCAGCAGAGTGCTGCAGGAGACAATGAAAATGAGGTGAAAATGAGACAATCCCCCCCCCCCTGCAAGCAACCCATTTTAGCCACCAGAGGCAGGTCGGATTTAAGCACCTCATGGGCCAGATTTGGCCCGCGGGCCTTGAATTTGACACCCCTGCTCTAGTTCAACTCCAGAAAAATCAGGAATAAAAAAAAAGATTGATAATACATATTAAAAATTGCCTTATTTCTCTGTGCTCTGTTTTCCTTGATACAACTTTGCCATTAGATTCTATCCAATTGTCAGTAATTGTTGGGCACAATTAAATGGAAATTACAAGGAATAGATCATTTTTGTGCCAAATTCCCCAACTGCTGTTCGCATATAACATGCATTCTAGTATATGTTCTTCTGGATGGTGTATATGCTTCTAGCACATACTGGCATTTCTTAGAATCAGACTTTGAAATTATTCAAAACTAAAATTCACACATCAGGATATAGTCTGCTTCATTTAATACCACTGAACGTATCAGTTAAAGCTCTTGGACTATTAGATTATTAAATCTACCTATTTGCATAAGTCTGAGCCATGTTCCTGCCCACCTAGTAGTTCAAAAGCATGCAAATGTGTTTGGATAAATAGGTACCACTTTGGCAGGGAGGAAACAGCATTATATGCGCTTTGTCATATAGTCATGGTGTCTACATGACCATGGAAATTGTCTTCGGACAACTCTGGTTCCTTGGCTAAGAAACAGAGATGAGCATTGCCCTCCCTAGAATCAGATATGACTGGATGGGGAAACCTTTACCCTTTTAATAAACCATGACTATTTCTGAATTTTCATCCTAAGATTCCTAAACATTTTCTCTTCCTTGTCTCTTTCTATGATACTGGATAGAGATCATTAACCTATACTATTTTTAAAAGGGAGATGGCTTTCTGGTCATTTGTTGGAAAATGTGATAGCAATGATGCTTTGCAAACTCAAAAGCTCAACAGTGGACACTGGCTTTCAACTACTCAGCCATTTTAATATTATGTTGGGGAAGGAATTAGTAGCTTCTGACTAATGTAAAATAAAATTGTAGTACAGGTGAAACTCGAAAAATTAGAATATCGTGCAAAAGTTCATTTATTTCAGTAATGCAACTTAAAAGATGAAACTAATATATGAGATAGACTCATTACATGCAAAGCAAGATAGTTCAAGCAGTGATTTGTCATAATTGTGATGATTATGGCTTACAGTTCATGAAAACCCCAAATCCACAATCACAGAAAATTAGAATATTATGAAAAAGTGCAATATTCTAGGCTCAAAATATCCCATTCTAATCAGCTAATTAAGCCATAACACCTGCAAAGGGTTCCTGAGCCTTTAAATGGTCTCTCAGTCTGGTTCAGTAGGAATCACAATCATGGGAAAGACTGCTGACTTGACAGTTGTGCAGAAAACCATCATTGACACACTCCATAAGGAGGGAAAGCCTCAAAAGGTAATTGCAAAAGAAGTTGGATGTTCCCAAAATGCTGTATCAAAGCACATTGATAGAAAGTTATGTGGAAGGGAAAAGTGTGGAAGGGAAAAGTGTGGAAGAAAAAGGTGCACAAGGAGCAGGGATGACCGCAGCCTGGAGAGGATTGTCAGGAAAAGGCCATTCAAAAGTGTTGGGGACTTTCACAAGGAGTGGACTGAGGCTGGGGTCAGTGCATCAAAAGCCACCACACAGAGACGGATCCTGGACATGGGCTTCAAATGTCGTATTTCTTTTGTCAAGCCACTCCTGAACAACAAACATCAGAAGCGTCTTACCTTGGCTAAAGAAAAACAGACCTGGTCTGTTGCTCAGTGGTCCAAAGTCCTCTTTTCTGATGAGAGCAACTTTTTGCATCTCATTTAGAAACCAAGGACCCAGATTATGGAGGAAGAATGGAGAGGCACACACTGCAAAATGCTTGAAGTCCAGTGTGAAGTTTCCACAGTGTGTGTTGATTTGGGAAGCCATGTCATCTGCTGGTGTTGGTCCACTGTGCTTCATTAAGTCCAGGAGATTTTGGAGCACTTCATGCTTCCTTCTGCAGATGAGCTATATAGGGATGCTGACTTCATTTTCCAGCAGGACATGGCATCTGCCCACACTGCCAAAAGCGCCAAAACCTGTTCAATGACCATGGGATTACAGTGCTTGATTGGCCAGCAAACTTGTCTGACCTGAACCCCATAGAGAATCTATGGGGCATTGCCAAGAGAAACATGAGACACATGAGACCGAACAATGCAGAAGAGCTGAAGGCTGCTATTGAAGCATCCTGGTCTTCCATAACCCCTCAGCAGTGCCACAGACTAATAGCTTTCATGCCATGCTGCATTAAGGCAGTAATTGCTGCAAAAGGGGCCCAAACCAAGTACTGAGTACATATGCATGCTTATACTTTTCAGAGGTCCGATATTGTTCTATGTACAATCCTTGTTTTATTGATTGCATGTAATATTCTAATTTTCTGAGATTGTGGGTTTGAGGTTTTCATGAGCTGTAAGCCATAACCATCACAATTATGACAAATCATGGCTTGAACTATCTTGCTTTGCATTTAATGAGTCTATCTCATATATTAGTTTCACCTTTTAAGTTGCATTACTGAAATAAATGAACTTTTGCACAATATTCTAATTTTTCGAGTTTCACCTGTATGTGAATACTACATGTGCTTTAGATGTGTTTAGAAATCATTTAAACATTATGCAAAACAGGGGACACATATCAAAATAGAATATTCCGTGTCAATATTTCTAAATATATTAAACCACTAAATAGCATAGCTACAATTTACGTATCTTTAACACATTAGGTCACATTTATAAATGTAGAATACAAAAGAAAACAAATCACAGAATTTAAATTGAAAAACTGCTTTAAGAATTTCATTTTCTTAAATTACTTCAGGGTATCAGAAAAAAAGTTAGATCATGCTGAATTTTTCATCTCCCTACCCTCTTAGTGTTTACTGTACTGTTACATTACACCCATATTGAAATTTTATGGGTGTTATACAATCAATTAAAACATGTTATAAAATACAATTTAAAAATATACAAATATTACAATTTTAAAACTAACATATTATATTAAAGAAAAAAAAATCTTCATCTGGCACCAAAATGTTAGCATCAGGCTAGCACCTCTGCAGAAAGTAATGTTCTGATAAGTAATCTAAGAGGGAGATTCTGCTCCTGGCAGACTGACCTTAACTGATGATTAAATTAAAGGGACTGATGCTGTTACCTAGTTGTTAATGAAAACCCTGCAACCCAAAAAACAAGCTCAGAGAGCATCAGGGATTCCACAGCCTGACCTTAAGTCCTTTAGGGGATTCTAGGCTACTACTACCATTTTTTTGAACTGGCGCAAGAAAAATGGACTGATATGCAGACAGATTACAAAGCGCTGATATAACGTAGTGGTATCAGCCATTCTCAGGTAACAGCCTAGCTGCTCTATTTTTAAATCAAACTTTCTGGACTATTTTCAAGGGGACATATATAATCCATAATCCTACCTGGATTGAAATCAGCATGAATGATGTTGCTAGGCTATTTTTTCTCCTGGCAAGGTCATAGTTGTTGTTATTATCAGCCCAGGATGATAAAAGGTATCTTAAGTTCCTGAAGTCACTCAGGCTTTCAAATGATAATGCTGGGTCCAAAAATATTACCAAAACCATACCCTTGAACTCTAGTGGAAATACAAGTCTTTCCTCAATTAGATGAACACAATTAATCAAACAGGTAGCCCATTTACAGGAAGTTTGCTTTCTTTGTACTGAGTGACCTATTCCAAGCCATCAACTCGCTTAGGCCTATTTATTATTTATGATTATTTTCAAAATAATTCTTCAAGAAAACTACTCCTTTTCAGAACACACATGTACTGCAAAATGAGTTCCTCAAGCATATTGTAAAAGTATTTATACATACTCAAAAAGAATACAAGAACGGTGAAACCATGACTTTATATAATTGAAAACATCACTCCATATGGGCAAACATTAAAATATTCTTTATATTAAAAGAAACTGCAAGGTAATTTCTTTTTTCCTCTCCTTTGTATTATTCAGCATGGCTATAGAATATCTTTCAAAATTAAGGTAAACCATTTAATAACACTGTTTTCTGATTATGAAGCAATTCAAAAAAGAAAGCAATTTGAAAAATGAAATAATTCTGTTAACAGAAATAATTTTAATATGTTTTTCTAATCTATCTTACATTCCACTCCTAAACGACCCACTGATCAGGAAAAATTGCAGCAAATAAACAAACAAAAAATGCACTTGGATTGAGGCTTCATGCAGATCCACTGCAGACTTTATATTGCTGTTCAATATAGCAGTACTAAAACTCCTAATGTATCTTGAAAGCAGTGGTGGGTTTCAAATAATTTACCAACCAGTTCTCTGCCCTAATGACCAGCTGGGTAGGCGTGGCTCGGTGGCCATGTGATCATGTGAGCGTGGCCAAGGCAATGTCACTCAGGTCGATGGGCACTTCGCCTTAGTTGTTACAATGGTAATAAGGGTTAACTGGAGAGGCAGTTTCTGTAAACAGGGCAATAAAGATTAGGCTAGAAACAACACCAGAATGTTTCCTTCCTGCCTTCCTTACAGGATTAGCCCTGTAAAGTGGGAAAAAAACAAAAGATTTCTTCCAACAACCGGTTCTCCGAACTTCTTAGAAAGTTACCAACCGGTTCTCCTGAATAGGTGCGAACTGGCTGAATCCCACCACTGTTTGAAAGTGAAGGGAAGCTAAACTTGCTGCTCATTCCAATCCAAGAACCAGAAACTGAACATGCAGCAAGAAGTGCATTATTAGACTGGGACAATTGCTTCTTGTTTAAAAGGAGATAGACGCTATTCAGATCAGACATAAACCACTTCTGATGTAACGTATGTTTGTCTGTTGACTTAAATGAACAAATCTAAAATACATATATTACCTGTCCACATCCAGGGGCAGTACATAGAAAGGGTTTGTCATCACTCATATTCTACAGGTTCTTGTGTTACCTACATTGGAATAGCAAACATAATTAGATTTAGATTGTGCCAAAAATTCATCTTGCATTGATTTACATAACAAAGCCTCAAATACAAAACAATAATTCAATGCACTTAATTATTTCAAGCCTATTTCTAAAATAACATAATTTTAAAAAATCCCAAATAATCTGGGGCATTATTCATTATATGAGATTTAAACACGGAATTATCAGTCAAGCTTGAAAACATTTTTATGAAGTACAGAAACTAGGATTTAACTCAGGACATAAATGTGTCAATATGTCTCCCTTTGATAGCTTCCACACCTATACAGGTAGTCCTTGACTTATAACATTTGTTCAGTGGCTGTTTAAAGTTATGACACTGAAAAAAGTGACTTTTGACCATTTTTCACACATACCACCCTTGCAGCATCCCCAATGTCAGATGATCAAATTCAGATGCTTGGCAACTGACTCATATTTATGATGGTTACAGTGTCCCAGGGTCAGGTTTTGCAACCTTCTGATAAGTAAAGTCAACAGGGAAGCCAGATTTACTTAACAACCATTTTACTAACTTATCAACTGCAGTGAGTCACTTAACAACTGTGGCAAGAAAGATTGTAAAATGGGGCAAAATTCACTTAACAAATGTCTTGCTTAGCAATGGAAATTTTAGGCTCAATTATGGTTGTAAATCGAGGACTACCTGTATGCCCAAGGGGTAAGGTGAACAATTTACTGGGTGCGAAAGACCTCTTATTCCAGAGATGCTATATTCTTTTTCTGGTTTCGTATGAGTTGCTTTTTCCCATTTAGAGTTAGTTTATAATCTGGGAGTCCCTGAAGAACAGATGCTACCTGTACGTAGAAGAGGCGTTCACAATTGCAGAATTTCCTGAATAAGAAAATCTTGCTCAAATCTTGATAAATAATCTTGATAACCTATTTGTGGGATGTAGGCATGGGACTAACTTGGAAAGTTACTGAGAAACTTCGGATGGTCCACGATGCAGCAGCCTGCGTCTATCAGCAGGTTGAGCTTATGGGTCTATCTGCACATGTAACATTGTTATTTAGCCAGTTCGTGGGATATCAGTTTGCTTCTGAGGCAATTCAAGGTGCTGATTGTCATCTTTAAAATTCTATATGATCCAGAACCTGAGCATCTTTGTAACAACCTACTTAAAGTGGTTTTTTCTAGTTCTAGTTCATTACAATGTTGAACAGTTGGTTCCTTTTGGAACTTTACTGCTAGGAAGTATAATCTATCCTCCCTTCTCTAGAACCTGGAGGTCAGATTTGGCTTGAATCTCTTGGCCTTTCAAAAAATGATCCAGCACTGGCCTTGACAACAACCTTCTGGGACCTGAGGAGTTTGTCCCTTGAGGAGTTTCCTGCAGAGTGTTTACATTTGTTCTTTGATGCTGTATATGATTGTGCTAATATTCTGTTATTCATATTTTTACTTCCATTACTATGCTCAGGTGTGTAAGGTGCTCAGAATCACTTGTGATGAAAGAAAGGTAAATACATAAACAAAGACATTACTAAGTGGTGTCTAATAGTAGTGGAACCTAATTGCTATGGAAGGTTATAAAGCTTAATGGGAACATAAACTCAAGAGTGGATTAGATACCATTAAATCAGAGCTTCTTAAACTTAACAAAGGAAATGGGGAATGTATAAAATATTATCAGAAAATGTGTCAGTGGAATCTTTAATTAGATCAGATGGGTCTTGAATAATTTTTACTCTACTAAAACAGGTTTATTATAATTAAGCCTGACAATCAGCAGACTAAATTCATATCTTAATGAATACAAATGGGACACTTTTAAAATAAGTTTAAATTTTAAAATGTTCCAACCAATTTTAGATTCTAATGGATTCCAATGAAAAGTGTTCAGATTCAGTGAAGTGAATCTCTCTTTAATTTCAGGTGGGTAAGTTTATTTCCATTTATGAAAGATTATTCTTTTTACTCTCACTTGGTGGAGTCAATTCCTGTCATGCAATGTTAACTTCCATATTTTAGGAATATAGTTCAACATCACATTTATATCTTTAGCTGTTGTTTTTATTTCCAAAATTAAACCATGTCATGATTTGAAACCAAACCAAAGCTCTTGATGAACAAGACTAAGTTCTTATAACTGATATTATGATTCCAATTAAGCTAACTAGCCAAACTGAACTGCATTGGAGTTTTTGATGGCAATTCCACCTAAAGCATGCGGAAGTCCTGATACTGGTAATTCAAAGTGGCCTTCCGTGTAGGTAGCACTTGTATTTAAGTTGCTGCACACACATACAATGTGAACAATGTCAGAGAATAATACAGGTAGTCCTTGACCTACAACTGTAGTTCAGACCAGAAGTACAGCTGTGAATTGCCCTGGGAAGTAAGTGGTTCAAAGTATGACTGTACCTGGTTTTATGACTTTTGTGGTAGCCATTAAACAAATATCGATTTTTTTGCCAGAAACTAGAAGTTTCTGCAGGCTGAGCATTCAAAATGCAACCATATAACCATAGTAGGGATGGGGTGGGGGATTAGCTGTTGGAACCTGGAATCCAGAATGTAAATAGCCCTAGGGACCAGTTGTAAGTTGAGGATTACCCACAATTTCCATCAAAGTTGCACTCTGCTCCACCAAACAATATTGCCCAGATGGATAGTATACAAAGGAAGAAAAATCTGCACCCTTATATACCAAGATGGTATGGGAATAATCAGTGTATGGATTTATCCTTCTCAACACGCTACTGTTATATGAAGCCCTTAAAAATAAAAGTATGGGGCAATCTAATTTCATTATTGGAACACTGACCACAACATAGCTAAATAACAATATTGAAAAGTGCCAGAGTTTATGAATCAACTATAATTGGTTTCATGCCTTCTGAGCACACCTCAACTCCCTCCGATTTATGAAGAAAAAGTCTAATCCCATCTAGAAATGGTTGAAGAGCTTTGAGCTTTCATCCAGACAATTACTACTTTCATGCAATCAGTGCTATCATTAAGCTGCCAAAAAATCAAGAACCCATTAAGTCACAATTTCCTTTTTCTCTGCAACCATCCATCAGGGTAGATGAGAAAACTTCTGGCCTGAAGACAAGTCAGCATCAGAGATGAAGATCACTACTTTCACATAAATTTAGTTGTTTTCTGCTTCCACCATAGGTAGAATAATTGAAGTGCGCGAGGGAAAAGAATCCCATGCTGCTACTTGTTCCATCAAATCATACATATTTGGATTCAGACACAAAAGCTTAAAAAGTATTTTTTATGAACCACTGCTTCCTCAGCAATAGATTATGTAGGTTTTTTTAAAGCTATGTTTGCTAATGAAAACATATATCTTGCTCTTTTTATTGAAACAAATATATCTCAATGCTAGGCATATAATAATTTAAAAGACATCTCGAGAGTCTTCTTTTTATCCAATAGTATACAATGAAGTATTGTCAGCCACTGATGCAATAAATGCAACAAACAACTGAAAGATCACATTCATTAGCTTTCTAGGCTTCTAAACAATCATGACAGGTAGCACTATTCTTGCAATTGTTGAAAGGCTCCTTCTCCAAATTGGACAATTTGGAAAAGGAGCCTTCCAAATCATCATGAGAATGGCTCCTGTTTGTAGAACATCCCAAGGCAGCATCTATAAGGCCACACCTTGCAATGGCTGAGTACGCTTGTCAGCAGCTGCAAAAAAGGCAAAGATAAGTGGAGAAATATGGGTGTGCTTCTGGGCTCTGCAACTGGCAGAGGCCTCCTGGGCATGGAGGGGTGGAGAATAGGCTTGGGCCTCCACAGCCATGGCAACATTGTGCACACTGGTGGGCCAAAGAGCGGCTGAGACTGAGGTAGATATAGGTTCGTGTGTGGGGGCAATTACAGCAGCCTAAAGTCATTCATAAAGAGCTGAATGCCAAGTGTCCGAATTTTCACCATGTAACTGCAGGAGCTTTGCATGTTTATAATTTTGACTAAGATCCTAAGTCCATTCATTCAACACCCTCATAATTTTGAATTGTTGCTATCACATCCTAATTTAAACCTGGGCATTTTACAGTGCCCAAGCCACATCCAGCCCTTTGGCTGTCCCTATCCAGCCCATGTAAAGTCAATTGGAAATTAAAAATTAAATGTAAATAAGATGTAATATGTATTCTTACCAGTAGCAACTAATCAAAACCATGTAATTTACTGCTTTTTATAAAGTGGTAAAATAAATGTTGAGCGGAATTAAGTTCAGCCTATTGGTTCAGCCTTCTGCAACAGTTCCAGTTTCTCATGTGACCCCTGGGGAAAATTAATTGCATCCAGTGCCCTAATTGGTCCATTTGAGAAATGAATGCGAATAGAAACTTTTATTGTCACATGACATATGACTTGGAGAATATATTATTATATACATAGCCTGGAAACAAGTATTTATGAGATGATGAGAAATATTTTATTTATTCTTTGAAGACAGAAGTAGATGCATTAATATGTGCTTGTTTCAGGACTTTAGAATTCTTCCTTAAAACACATACATTTTCATTGTTTTTTGGGCAACAACTGCAACCTGCAAAACTAGATATTCTGCCAAATATATGGTTCATGAATAAGCAGATTTACAACACACGGACCTTCAATAATTATGGAATTATCTAAACAAGGCTTTGGTAAACATGTACAGAGGGGAAATGTTAATTTTATGACATTTAATAGACTATTTAATAGTCTATTTCCAAAATTTTAATCCAAATTCCTATAGTCATATATATCCATGGGATTGATAGGGACACATTCAAAATTCTTTTAATAGAAAAACTGAAAACTGAGCTGAACTAGAGGAATGTATTTCCGTATTTCAAAATTATGTGTACAAAGTAACCTAATTCTTTTTTAAAACAAGTATTTTAAACTACAGGTAGTTCTCACTTAACCACAATTGAGACTCTATCATTAAGCAACATGGTCATTAAGTGAGACATCATATAACCAAGATTTAGGAATTTTACTGCAGTTTAATTCATTCACTCTGCTTGTTGGAAGCTGGCTGTGAAGTATAAAAATGGAGATCAAGTGACTATGGAACACTGCAAAGGTTGTAAGTGCAACAACCAATTGTAAAGCTATTTTCAGCACCGTTTGTTGCAACTTCAAATGGTTGCTTAAGGAGTGAGGACTACCTGTACATCATTTCAAAAGAACACATCAAAATCTTTCTTCTGGACTTGGCAATCTTAATTTACAAACATTCAGAAACTATTCAAGGTGGGCTTTAGAAATTATTTGAAATAGATGAAAAATTAGCTAATTTTTTTAAATAAAAAAAGTTTCAGGAATTGCAATACATCACATACCTCTGCTCTCCTTACATGGGATTTCCACTGCTTTCTGCTTAATGACCCATATGACTTGGAGTTACAATGGCAATCGTGACTGTCTGGATTGCTGTTGCTGAACTATATGGACATTGCATTTTATGACATTACTTAGTGATGCCAATCCCAGACCTACCTGCTATCACCCATGGACTGACTATCTGTAATCATTCTAAAATGGGGAATGAACAAAATCATGGTAGTAGGGTAATGGAATACAGGTAGTTTTCATGCTTACGTCTATTACAGCATCCTCATGGTCAAGTGATCAAAATTCAGAATCTTTACAACAGTTGCAGCATCCCAGGGTCATGCGATTATCAATTTGTAATCTCCCCAACCAGCTTCTGACATGCTAAAGATAATGGGGAAAACTGGATTATCTTAATAATGCAATCCCCTAAAAAACAGCAGTAATTTGCCTAATAACTGTGACAAAAGGGTTGTAAAATCAGGTGACTCATTTAACCACCTTGCTCGGCAACAGAAATTCTGATCACAATTGTGGTCATAAATTGAGAACTATCTCTATACAGTAAGAGTCTATGCACAAACATGTTGGTTCAGTTCAGACTAAATTACAAGCTTAAAAGTTGACATGACTGATGAGATAAATTTCATAAGCATATATACACATATTTTTTATAAATAAATAATTAAGCAGTCAGATTCTTCACCTTCCACTGTAGGTCCTCTATTAAGAATAACTTTAAACAGGACATTTCATTCCAGCTCAAACATCACTCAAATAAAATTTAGGCTTCTTTCAGATGGCCAAATTAAAAATGCTATCCATTAGTATTTCAGCCAGCAGAAAAGCATGTTACATAAATTGTGCTGCCCTGATTGCTGATCCTTAATCTCATACTGTAACAAGGTCTTAGAATGGTCCTATGCAAACTTAGTTATTACAGATCAAGTTTAAAAATGAGATTGGTAAACTCCTCCGGATTTGTTTCTTCTCCGATACAGCATCAACTCCAAGCAGGTAAAAAAATTCTTCTTACTGTGGAGAGGAAGACATCTAGACAGATTTATTGGATTTGTAGAACACTTGACTCCATCATGATTAAGATGCTTAGCATGATAGATTTAGCTACCTGTCAATTGTTCTAATAATAAATGGTAAGCACTTCCCCACGGAAATCAGATTGGTGGCTACTCTGGTTTCCAAAGGCAATCAAGGTGGAGTTAGTACAAACAGACTTTAGAATCTTAAATTACTCGTTAGGCCGTCTGATGAAACGATTGTGGTAAGTCTCAATCATTACCGAGCAAACTGCTGCATTCTACACCAGTTGTACCTTCCTAATAATCAGAACCAATATTATCTGTGAATTTTCCAAAATAAAATAATTAGGGTGGGGTGGCTGCTTAAAACCCAGCAGCTGACCCAACAGAACATGTAATACACCCAACAGTGACTGAGCCAACAACCTATACTTGGCAAAACAGTGTTCACTTTCCCTGTTAAAACCAATCCTCTGTGCATCATAGGATTAACTGGTCTCTCAAAAGTATCCTAAACTTATGTTTAGAACACAGGATTAGCACTTGTGGTTTTTTTTAAAGTGCTAAAAGTGAATGCTAAAAAGCCTGGGTGTAAGATATGAAAATGCATTTTACAAAATAAAGATTTGGGCAGATAACCTTTGTTGAAGGTCCAATATTTTCTACACCCCCAAATCAAAATGGTCACTGCCTAATCGTAATGGTAACCAAATGGTCAGTGAAAAGTGCCACATCCTATTAACCAAAATTATGTCAGCAAGAGAAGAGAGAAAAGTGTTTAAGAACTGAAATGGCCAAGGACACCTAACACTTGCTGCTGTCATAGGGTGGAGATCAGGTGAAGGCCATGTCAAAAGGAAAAAGTTATGTTTCTGCCACGATTGGAGTCAAATGAGAAAATGTTGATTGGATATAAACTATCTGCCCTACAATAAGGAATAATAGTGACACAATAAAACACCAGCGGCCTCTGCTACCACTTAACTCTCACACCTCCTTTAACAAGTGAAAAAAAAGGAAAAGCCTTCTAGGCAGAGAGCTTTATTTTGTTCTCGATTTCATTAAATTCCAGCTGCTTAGATCTCTTTCCTTGCAGGAAACAGGGTGGAGAAGATATGTGCCCATTGCTCTTCAAAAGCGACACTTGACCATCAAAAGCCAACGCTTTTTGGCCTTCTCCATCAGGGACCACGGGGAGGAAAGATCTGAAGGCTACAGAATCTGGTTACATACATGTATTATCAATCTATATTTATATTATCTATCTATCTATCTATCTATCTATCTATCTATCTATCTATCTATCTATCTATCTATCTATCTATCTATCTATCTATCCTATCCATCGTTCTACTATGAATCTGTGTCTGTCTGTCTGTCTATATCTATGTATCATCTATCAATCTTTCTACTATGTATCTGTGTCTGTCTATCAATCTTTCGTTTGTCTGTCTGTCTGTCAGCCTATCTCTCTATCTCTGCACTCCCAATATTATAAGAAGAGAAGGAGCCCTTCTTTCCTCCCCCAGGATTCCAAGAAAAACGGGAGGAGACGGAGGCGTCCGGGCCAAGGCCAACCGGGAACGACAGGAGAAGCCAGGCTGGTGTCGTGGGCGGCCAAAACCGGCAGCCGGGAGCAAGGGACTGGTCGAAGGAGGGGGAAAAAAAACCACTGAGCGTCGGCGCCATGTTATACTTCCCCCTGGCTCCCTTCTCCTGTCCTCAGCCACCAGGGCCCGGCTGTTTTCTCCCTCAGCCTACCCCCGGCTACAGCTACAGCCACACCCCGAGCCGTTATCCTTAACCTACAACGTCAAGGCGAGGCACGGCCTTCCTCTCCGCCTCCATTAAAACAAAACCAGACCGCCGCGCGCGCATACACACATACACACACAGCCAACTCACCCCTCACGACCGCCGGCCGAGCCGCACATTAAAGCCCGGGTTTTTCTCCCCCCCTCCCACCCGGTTCTCGTCACATCTCGCGGGAACTCCGTGACATATCGGTTTCTCTCTCCCCTCTTTCGCGTTGCCTTCCTTCCCTTCTCCCTCCCCCCTCCCCTTCTCTCCGGGGAGGGTGGATAGGTCAGGAGGAAATGGGGTCACGTGCCGCGCGGAGACCGGAGGGGGGGGCGTGCAGCACAAACGGAACGGAAGAGGAAGGAGGCGCGCGCAACCGCAGGAGGGAGAGGCGGCCGCGTGGTTGTGGGGTTCCGCGAAGGCGGGGCCAGGGCCATTTCGCCGGTGCCTGGGTGGCCGGAAGCAGCCCCGTCCTTCCTTCCTTCCTTCCAGCGCTCCTCCTTTCCGCGCCTGCGCGCAGAAGAGGAAGATGTCCTTTCGAGGGGAGCCTGGGTGTTACCAAAGCGCTGGAGGGGGGCGGGTGGGACTGTTGGATTTGAAGTGCGGGAAGGCGTTAGCTGGACTCAAAAAATCACTACATTCACTGCAGCCAGGTGTCCTTTATTCCACAGGGCAGTAATATTGGTTTTGTAAATTTTTTCTTGGTTTTCCTCCTGATTTTTTTTTTTGTAAAGCAAAGTTATAAACAATTAAACAATATTATCCTTATGAACTTTTTAGATTCCCCCCCCCCTTCACGTTTAGGCTTTTTCCCAAGAAAACATGGTCACTCTGTGTGTATATACACACATATATACATGTATGCATATATGTATGGAGAGAGAGAGAGAGAGAGAGTGAGTGAGTAGCACCTCTGGTCACGATCATACATATACATACATACACACACACACAACTATGTATTTAATATAAAAATGCATTTCTGCACAGAGGTTCAACTGTTAAATCAATTATTACACAGGAAAGGGTATGTTAAGCCTGTAATTTCTGCATATTTACCTAAAGTGGAGAGCAATACCATTGTAGCTTCTGAATAAATATGTACAGGCAATCCTCGATTTATTACAATTGAGCCCAAAATTTTTGTTGTTAAGCGGGACAGTAAATTTTGCCCCTTTTTGATATTTCTTGCCAGTTAAGTAAATCATTGCAGTTGTTTGGCAACGTGGTTGCTAAGTGAATCTGGCTTACCCATTGACTTTGCATGTCAGGTCGCAAAAGGCGACCATTGTGAGCCACTTGCTGAACATTCAAATTTTGATCAGGTGGCTAGGAGCATGCTACAATGGTCACAGGTGTGAAAAATGGTCATAAGTTATTTTTTTTCAGTGATGTAACTTTGAAGAGTCATTATATGAACTGTTTTAAGTCAGTTGTATACTCCTCTTTCTGATAGGAATTATGGATGTTAGAAATCCAACAGAATGCAAGTAATTAACAATGGTAATTGGAACAGTAAAGGAAATAAGATCAAAAAAGAGCAGCTGAAACCACAAGACATGTAATTCTAAAACTCACCTGGCAGTCATAAAACGTGCCTTTTAAACCATGATAAGCAATAGCATTCAAAACTGCTCATTGCTCCTACCTGATGGAGGGAGCAGTTGTTGAACTGAAAGCGAATCAATATTCTGCCAGGAAAAGGGCTTTGGATGACAAGATTGGAAAAAATTAAAATGGTTTCCATTTGCTAAAAAGTAGTTGTCCTTCATGTCTATATCTGCATTGACTAATCCAACTTCAAGCTTTTTGAGCATGCACAAATGTAATTTGCATGCATGATCCTCCCGACTTTCCCATTAAAAATTTCTTTCACTTGTCTTCTTTTAACACATCTGCAATTGGATTTGCTTGGCAATTCTCCATTCTTGGAATTATATTGATACTTTATTTTGAATATGAAATATTTGTGTTGCAAGTATGTCTGGCTTATAAGTAACGTATGAACTGATATTTTTTACTTCAGTACGTTCTCCTTTAAATACCTCCCTCATTTTCTATTTCATTATTCAAGAGCCACAATAAGATAAATCTACCAAATGTTGTATAAAAGACGTGTTAGGTTACACCCTTTATTAAATATTTCAGGTAGACTCATTTATAATCTGAAAAGCAATTTCCATATGAATACTAATTCCCAGTGGTCCATTTTTGTATTTTTTAAAAGTGTCACACAGATTTAATTAATCCTCCCTCAATGATGATGACTCTACTGGTGCTACCCACACAGCTGACAGCCATTTGCCAAAGGGCATTATTTCCAATTGTGGATATAATTTATACCCATGTAAGATAAAGCAAAGTCATATACGCAATCTGAACAGATCACATTCACAATATTATTCCACTGAGCTTCAATACCAATTTTCCAGGCATGAGCTCCCAAAAGATGAATGTCAACCTCTGGTCTCTCAATAAGACTTTGAAAAAGTCAGGTAATTAAAGGACAAACCATGGTAAGTTTAAACTTGTTACCATCTTTAATTAAGCTGCTTTGGAAGTAGCATACATTTCCATGATAAACATTTTCCAAGCTCACGTTCACAGAATCACATTGTAGTTCATTAGTGCCAACACTGGAAACAAACCTCTTCACATGGCAAACAGAATTAAGAATGCAACCATGAGACAGAAGAGACCCATGGCTTCGGACAGGGCAAATCCCAGAATAGCATAGGAGAATAGCTGCTGTTTCAGAGAAGGATTCCTAAACAGAAATACAAGATAAAAGTCACATTTGGAGAAATAGTAGAAAGCAATTTTAATTTTACAGAGTACGCATCCTTTTAAAACATATGCCCCTTTAGAGACCTCGTAGGTAATGGCAGACCAATGAGCGGATGGTTGTTGGGGTGATCACATAGCCCATGCTAATGACACCTTAAAGCTAATAAAAGAAAGATGCAGTTCATTTAAGGAGGGGGTGACATATGCCATGTGCTAACCCACACCAATCTGAATAACAATATAGCCTCAGTATATTGTAACTATTACCTACAACATCAAAACTCTTTTTCCAGCCTTCAAGAGCCTTCTGAAATCATACATCTGGAAATTAGCGTCATTGGCAGCCTTAAGTGTAACTTTTGATTGCTGCCCACTGTTGAAGGGTGGTTCACACTTTTTAGTACAGCTGATTACCATTAAACCCATTCCCATCTTACAAACAGATGGTGGGATTAGCTTGCTGTAAGGTATGGCTGCCCTTCTAGACGCAATTACAGCCACCCATATTTCAAGACACATCAATTTGTGATCTTAGCTGAACTGGATGTGGTGAGCCATTGCATTGCATAGTTCAGGAAGCTGGAAAACTTGGGAATTTCTTTAATGCTTATATGTCTGATTAAGAAATCAGTTCCTCAAAAGCTATAATTCAAATCCTAGTTTAGTGAAATCAGCCATTTTAAGAAAGATTTCTTCCTATTCTTAAGTGCAAGAATCAGTCTCGAAATGGCACCAATTTCACATTCTTCAGCTAAGTAGGGATAGGCAACCTGATACCTTCCAACATCTCTGTATATTGGCACATTAGTTGAGATTATGGAATTAAGATACTAAGAATAGACTTGTTTGATTATCCTAGTCATGAAGATCCATTGTTTGGTATTATACTTTTCATGTATGTTTTAAAGGTTGGCTATCAACAGATGACTTCAAAAGCATCCTTGACTTGCTTGAAAGGACTATGACATTGATTCTGTAACTGGATGTGATGTAATATAGTAGGAAAGAAGGCATATATTCCAGAAGAATAAGAGGAATTTCAGTCCAAACATTTTGCATGAGAGAGAAAGGATGAAGATAATCCCTCAGAGTATATTGTAGATGCAGATAGAGTTCTCAGTCGAGTAAGATTTGTCTATATGTGTGAAACAATAATGAACTCAATTTGGAATATTCACCATG